AAAACATTTCTAAAAAGAGCCATAGCTAAACGTTTCACATATGTTAAAAAAGAATCCAATATGTTCACCTGTATAAAATAAGAGCATTGCAAGCCAAACAACTTGTAGGTCAAAACCCAACTTTAACTATTCACTGCAAGAGAAACATAAGGTATATTCCCAAAGATTAGAGGAAACAGCTTTCATTTTAGTCTCCTGCAATCTGTACAAAAACTGTGAATGAATTTCTTAGATTAATTGAAAATACACAGTGAGTGTCAAATATTCTGAGAAAAGAAAAGCCCTGCCCATTTACAGTTTATGCGAAAAGACGGAGGGAGGGAGGAGGGGAAAGTATCCCCTACAGAGGCATAAGGACTTGGGTTTGTATCCCTAAGTATCTACCAACAAATTGAGCACAGCAGCATGCATCTGTCCCCACACCGCTGGTGAGAGAGGAACAGAGAGATCCCCAGAGTTCACTGACAATATGGATTTATAAGCTCCCGGTCCAGTAAGTGACCTTGGCTCAAAAGATAAGACAGAAGGTGATGCAGAAAAGCATAAAACATTGACCTCTGGCTTCTATATGCACCCCATGAACACATACATGGATATGAACATATATCATGCACACACATACATACACTGGGGGGTTAAAAACTATATTTAGCAATGGTTAGCAACAATATGAAATATGGCTGTGTCTCACCTTCCAGCCAGGCTGTGTTGCTGGTTCAGACCAAGAATGAGCTAAACCCAGGGTCCTAAGGGAATGAGAGAAGTTGAACTAAAGATTTGGATGCTGTGGGCTGGAGAGATGGCTCAGAGGTTAAGAGCACCCACTGCTCTTCCAGGGGTCCTGAGTTCAATTCCCAGCAACCACATGGTGTTTCACAACCATCGATTATGAGATCTGGTGCCCTCTTTTGGTGTGCAGATATACATGGAAGCAGAATGTTGTATACATAAGAAATAAATAAAATCTGAAAAAAAGAGATTTGGATGTTGCTCCAATTGATCAGTGGAGATACAGAGTCCAGCTAATCCTTCACATGGCAATGGGTGGGAGCTGAAAAGGTCAGAGTGTGTCTTGCTTACAGGTAAATCAGGGGCATTGGGAATCTTACTCAAGGCATATGGATGGGATGGCCTTGGCAGGCAGTGGTTTCCTGGAGCAGACATGGGGGCTGGGGTGCATGTGGGGAGCATATTTCCAGATTCACCATTTGCAGGATCTGTGCAAAGTTCAACATTATCATTGGTTTTCCCAGTTTTTCTCAATATCTGGTTATAAGCCCCCTAATAACATTTCCAATTTTCCCCCTCCTGCTGGACTCAGCGTCACTACGTTAAAATATGGCTGCTGACATCACTTCCCAGGGCCTCCAGCTGCCTGCCTCTGGCTCTTTTTAGAGAGCCTGAAGAAGCCCTGTGGTTTATAGCTGCAAGGTTTGACACAGACCTCAAAGGATAGATCAGACAAGGGGCTAGAATTCTTCCTGGACAAGCAGTGTCTTGGCCTATGGAAGGGCACCATGACCTCAGACATTCTCGAGTCTCTATGTTTGCAAGGACTGAGGAGAACTAACACTAAGCCATGGGAAAACTCAATAAGCAGTGTTGAGCAGTCAAAAGACTTCCCTCCATCAACTGCTTAGAACATGGTTACCCTCGACTGGGGTTGGGGTGGAGGGTGTTGATGTCTGTCTCCATATCACATTTCAACCTTTTATACTAATACTCTCTTCATGCCAGTTATGACATGCCTGATTTTGGGACTCTAAAAGAACTCATCTTTGCCACCGTTCAAAGATAACTACTTTTGGAAAAGTAATGTCAACAAGGGTTCTCAGAAGACAGTTTTGTCGACTCTGTGTTAGTCCCTAAAAGTTTATGACCACTTTTAGGCACACACTCTAGCACCCTACCATAAGCCCAGCTGTTTATGATAACTTCAGTGTTGTGTACTGATGAATAACACTCATCTTGAACAGAACAGGAAATTGTCAATGATGAACTCTCTCTGAGGCCTATACACCCCTTGTTCCAGGAAACAGGTAATTTCAAAGCATAGCCCTGCCCTGATACCAGCCAGAGATGCCTGAATGCCAGGAATCCCACTTCAGGTGGGCTAGCTAAAGCTGGTTGGATGCCAGAGGGTAGCCAGAGTTACTACCAGGCAACTCTAACTTTACCACTATACTATCCCATCCCAAAGCCAAGTCTCCTGGCCTTTTCACCCCATGATAACTGACAATCACCAAGGTAACAGGATCAGAAAGAGATACAAGAGTAAAAAGAGGCAGCACCCAATTTCCTGGGAAGCCTCTGCCCATTCCCAGAAGACACGAGATATCAACTCACTCCAGTCAGAATGGCTAGAATCAATAAATCTGACAACAAATGCTGGAAAGGATGTGGAGAAATAGGAATCTTACTCAGTCTTGGCGGGGTATAAATTAATATAGCCATTGTAGAAATTAGTTTTGTGCTAGACTTTGTTGACTCGCCATTTCTGAGGAGCAGATAGGGGTGGGTTGGGGCAGGTGGGGGCATGAAGTGGTAGGAGGGGAGGGAGGGGGTACTGTGGTTGGTGTGTGTAAGGGTTCAGGCATTATGGTGGCCTGCCCCCGTCACCTGGCAGAATGCACTCAGGCAGTACCCTGGTCAGCCCAGGGTTCCAAGATTGCATCATCTGCACCCAGGTGCAAAAGGACCTCTTTAAAAGACAGATGGACCCCTGCCCACTTAGGCTCTCTTCTCTTTCTGATCTCTCTTTTCCCTCTCTCTTTCCCACTCTCTTTCCCTCTTTCCCCCAGTTTCCCTGGGGCAGATAGGACTTTTCCTGTCTCCCTCTTCTCTTCTGTCCTCTCTCTGTCTGTGTCTCTTCACCTCTTTTCTCTTTCCTTTCCCCTCCCTCTGCTTTCTAATAAAACTTCTCACTTAAGCTCTGTCTGCCTGGCATGTTTGTCCCCCACCTTGGTCAAGCTCGCCTGCCATGGAATCTGCCAAGGTCCCACACACAAGGTTCCCCTCGACATTTACCATAACAGTATGTAAAATGAATAAAAATAAAAATAGAGAGATTTCCCAAGTATTAAAAATAGAACTATCATATGATCCAGCTATTTCACTCCTGGGCATATCCAGAGAACTCCATAACCTATCACAGAGATATGTGCACCATGTTTATTGTTGCTTTATTTACTATAGCAAAGAGTTGGGATCCAACTAACTGTCCATCAACAGATAAATGGAAAATAAAAACCCACTATGTATATATACACATCCATATGTATATGTGCATATTCATGCATGTATATACATATATGTGTTTATGTAGATATATGTATTTACACATCTATATAGAGTGGTATACACATATATTTACATGTATATACATAGTGAATTTTCATACATAGATTTATATTAGATATAGATATAGTAGAATATTATTTAGCTCAAAAGGAAATATAATCACAAAATTCATAGGAAAATGGATGGTCTTAGAAATGTAAAATATTAAGTGAAGTCACACAATCTCTGAAATAAAAATACTTCATGTTCTCCCTCATATGCATAATCTACCCAAAGCCAAATGAGTGTGTAGGCATAACATGTAGGATAAAAAAAAAAAAAAAACAAGAAAGCCTAAATGTTAGAACGTAAGAAAGGACTGAATGCAGGTGATGGCCATGAGTTTTGAAAGAGGATGTAAAGCTACTCGTTTTTCTAGTTCTAACTCTTAAGGAATTTTGGTTTGGGTGCATAAAAATATACTTGATAGTCAAAGTATAAAATCTAGTGTAAGTAGCTTCTTCTTCAAATGTTTAACTGCACACAAGTTCACTGAGCTACACAGACTTTGGGTCTGGTTAACTCCAGTGTGATTTTCTTTTGCAAAATTTTCACAATAAAGACTATAAATGAAACAACTAGTTGAAATAGAATTAGAGCTTGAGTTGGTTCTTTGGGTTTTTGAGGTAGGGTCTGGTGTCTCACAGGCTGGCATCTAACTTAGTATGTAGTTGAGTATGACCTTGAATTCCTGATCCTCCTACCTCTACTTCCCCATGCTAGAAGGGAAAGAAAGCCCAACCCACCTTCATGCAGTGTAAGAGAATGCACCCAGGACCTTCTGTATTTAGGCAAGCATTCTACCAGCTGGGCTGCATCCTTGGATCCCGAAATTAAGAATTTTTAGTCAACCTAGGCTTATTGCAGGAAGTTCTTTAATAGTCTGCTTTACATGCAATATACTTATCACTCACATTTCTTTCCTCTGCTCCTAAAGGAAATACCTTCTTCATACCTACAAGCACCAAATCAACCTTGTAGGAAAAACCTGAGGACAGCAAGAAGAGCGGCGAGACTGCAGAATTCCTAATTAGTGAAGCTCTGCCGATATACTCACGCAGTTGTGGTCTGCATGTCATGCCAGCTTCTGCTGAAGTTCTGCTTTAACTCGTTCATCAGGTTCATGCCAAGTTTCTGTTTGATCTCAACCAGATGTCTTTCTTTTGCTGACAAAACTTGTCGTAATGTTGTAATTTCGTCTTCTAGCTAAAGGTGAGAAGAAAATAATTGGCAGGGTGAAACAACAGAGCTAATGAAAAATACATTTCTAAAAGGTTGCGATGATTTGGTGGAGTGTCTGAAGCCTATCAGTGGCCTCATGCTGCCAGCCCCCAAACTTAACCATGCAAATGACAGTCCACTCTGTGAAGCTGAAACTTAATACGGGATGCTTAGGGTTAATGATTCCCAGGGTACTTAGTTTCCCTTCTAACTGATTCAGATTGGGCACCAAGACATACAAGAAAATAAAAATCACCTGTAAGCCTACAAGAAAATAGTATTTTTATTATATTTCTGTATGTGTGTGAGTGCAATCATGCCAAGGCTCATGTGTGTGTGTAAGCCAGAAGACAACTCATAGGAGTGGGTCCTGCCTTACCGTGTGGGTCCTGGGAGTTGGAGGAGGGTTGTCATCTTGCACCAAGTACCCTAAGGTACCGGAGCCATCTCACTGGCCCAATAATTATGTCTTTTAAAGATTGGTTTTGTAATGCCCACATTATTTAACAAAATAATTTCTTTCCATGCGTTACTAGTTAGTGCTTACTTATTTTTGTTGGCCACACGTAACTGTGCTGGGATATGAATAAACTTGGCTGATATTGTGCTTTTTCCAATCTAGTACCATAAAAAGGTAGGAACTATGGAGGTGAGAATATGTGAGGAAGTAATTTGGGTTGTGTTCTCTTTAGCAATCTATGGAGCTGATACAATAAACTGCATGTATCTTAAATGTACAATTTATAAGTATAATACATAGGCATATGTATTACATGAATATATATGTATATATATATACATATGTTTATATATGGACATACAAATGTATATACATATGTATCCATGCAGTCATACTGCCACAGGTACCTGAAAAATATATATTACCTCCTAGCCATTCTTTGTAGTTTTCTCTCCCTAATTCTTCCCTGCCCCCCTAAGTCTTTCCCTCACTAGGCAATCACTAATATTCTTTTTTTTTCATTCAACTGAGTTTGCAGTTTCAAGAATTTTACATAGTTATGTCATACCTTGTATATTTGTTTTGTTTGGCTTCATTCACTTAGCACAGTTATTTGCAACTGGCTAATGTTGCTACATTTACCATGGTTCCTTCCCTTTTCACTATAGAGCACTGCTCTGTTGTGCGGGTTTTGCCAGTTTGTTGCTCAGGAGTATTTGGATTTAGCTAATACAAATGAAACCACTGTGAAAGGCTTTGGATGGAGGACACAACTCTTTCCTCCATGCTGCATGCAAGATCACTATAAAACTGTTTTTACAAGTTCATTTCTAACTAAGGAGTTACATAAAATACTCAGAGTTTGGGTTATATATGTTCTATAAAATCCATTTAAAGTTCCCAAAGTCTGATTTAACTGCATGTGCCATGCTTTATATTACAACTACATGGATTGCTCTAATATTAGGGCTTAATTTCCCATCTTGGTTTCTGGGAAGCACAAGCATTCATACTTTCCTTCAGCAAGGCAAGCAAAACCATTATGAAAACATCCTCTGTACTCCACATGTGCAAGGTAACAGAAGTCTGCCAGTTTACTTAGCATTCTAAGTGTTTTTTTTTTTTAAATAGGGAGCTGTGTCTCATTTACATTCACAGTCTCACTTTATCTCTGACTTGGGGACAATCCCACCAGGCATCTTTTAGACATGTTTCTTGTGTCACTAGAGAACAAGCTGCTGAAAAATTGTGACTGCCTTTGAAACATGAGTCTTTTCTGTGGCACAAGGAAGACATTTCCAGTACCAAACAGTAAGAATGATGCTGTGATTTTTCTTCTCCTGTTTTGGCCATGGTGAGGCAGTGGGTTCAGTCCTCATGCATGATAAACAGGCACTCTGAACTGCTCCCCCAGATGGGAAGCCTCACAACACAGATTATCACGTCAGGAACAAAGGTACAAACACACAGGAAAAGCATCGTAAACAGCTCACTATAATAGAGCAATATCTTAGGGTTTTTAATCTCAGGAAAATGTTCCGACAGCTTAATGTTATGCATTTCTTTATGTTCATGGAATGTTTTTTATATGTTCTTGGAAACATTTCCAGAAGAGAGACAGAATCACACATCCCATGTGCATTCATAACCAGTAGAAGCGTGTCTTTTTCTTGATGAGCACGTCTTCTGTCTGCATGCATAGGCTGACAGCTGCAAAAGAAGGACACTCAGACTACCTGAGGGCACAGGCTTTAGTCTCCCCATTTCATGAGAGCTCAGGGTTATTTTAAAATCACATTTCTCTGTTCTTTATCATCATGTCATATTCCACTTCTTATTTTTGTCAAGCTGTCTTCCCGCATTCCATCTGCTGCCTAAAATGGATATCGCTTGTTCTTGTTCCACAGTCACTGCTTGGGTGACTCCCTTTACTCTTTGATAGCTACAGCTCTCCTGCTTCTTTCATTTTGAGTGACTGAAATTACTGGGACCTCTGGTTCCCTATTGGGGTGGGATGGATATGTAGGATGTTTCTGCAGTTTCTACTGTGTGATAAGAATCCTGGGAAAACTTCTAACTTGCAGAGGTAAATTACCGATGTAGGGCAGGAGAAAGAACTCACAGATCTTGATAGTTCAGCCTCATGCACTTGGAGCTGTATAGGCATAGTGAATGACTTATGTGTTGTGAAGGAACAGAGAAAATAAAAAGAATCAGTTTCCATTAGAATTTTTAATAAAAAACATTGACACTCCCCACAAAGCGATAGAAATTGGAGGTGACCTACTTATCCCTCATAATCTCTATAGTTTGGATCTGGAACATGTCCCAAAGGCCCATGTGTCAAATGCATGGTTCTCAGCTTAGGAAGTGACAAAAAAAAGGAAAAGGGAAGTATTTCCTAATGAAAGAGAGTTTGGGTGTGCCCGCATGGCTGGTGTTGGGGATGCTGCTTTCTCCCACTGTCTTTTTTTTTGCTTCTTGCCAACCATAATGTGAATCATCTTCTCAACCACACACTCCCACCATGCTACAATGCGCCACCGTAGCACCCATGTTACCTCCAGCAACACGGCCAACTGACTGTGAGTCAACACTTCTGAAACTATGAACCGAAATAACACAACCAGTCCCAATGTTTGGGGGTTTGATGATAGCAGAGATTTAACCACAGTTCATGAAAATCACCCCAAGGGCATATGTAAAATGCAGAGTCCCAGGTTCGTGCCCCCCACTTTCATTACTATGACATTCTGAAGTATCAAGTGAGGCCAAACATCTTCTAATATCCGACAAGTACCCCCAGATAGTCTGGTCCAGGTGAGATGTGACATCTGTATTGCGAGCATTTCTGTTAGTCACAGCAAATATAAAGCAAGATGAAGTGCAGGTAAATCACATTGACAAAAGCATTTAAAATGCTCTTTCCTGGAGAGATGGCTCAGAGGTTAAGAGCACCAACTGCTTTTCCAGGGGTCCCGAGTTCAATTCCCAGCAACCACATGGTGGCTCACAACCATCTGTTATGAGATCTGGTGCCCTCTTCTGGTTTGCAGACATACACAGAAGCAGAATGTTGTATACATAATAAATAAATAAAATCTTTCTAAAAAATAAAATACTCTTTCCCTCAGGTTAAAATTACTTCTTCATTAGAAATAGACAGTTGGTTCTTTGACTTCTTTTTAAATATTTATTCCTTTGAGACAGGTTCCCACTATATAATGTTGACAGGCCTGGAACACACTAGTTAGGGTTATTTGATTTTTTTTGACTGCCTAGACAATCTCCATGTGAGAAATATTTATGTCCAAGGTCAACTGGTTATTTAAATATGGTTAGCAAGGAAACAAGTGCTAGCGAAGATTTGAAGAAAAG